TTCGTAATTTTGTCCAGTTTGTGTTTATCTCTTAATAAACAGGTAAGTTTGTTGTTACCAATCATTGTGTTTTATTCAATCTCACCTAATTTAGCTGGCTAGATGTTATCAAGAGTACTAAAACCCTTTTCAACATGAGTCTTACAACTAAGGCTAAATACTTTAACTTAAACTTAAATAGATGCTCGGATAGGCTGGTATCAGACAGTATCGGTATCGGATCGGAAGTCCAAAAACAATATCGGTATCGGATTGGAAGTGCAAAAACCTGGAACGGGACATCTCTAATGGATGGTAGTGCTGGGGTGCATCTAGCAATCTTTCCCAACCTTATAAACACTATCTTTTCAATGTTGTTAAACACAAATACTGCTTTCCGAATCATTGTCCGCCATGGTTGTTTTTCTTGCGGCTTCTTCATATCAAGACGTAGAATAGTGTCTTGTTGGGTATTAATAGCATTCAGGTCGGATGAATGTGACCTGGCTGTTCAGACACAGGTCGCATTTGAAAAGATCAGATTTGTATCAGATTCAGGACAGCATAGCCAAGTGGCCTGCGTCAGATTTGAAAAAAATCTGTCGTCTTCTGTGCTCACGATCGTGAATGGTCTGCTGCCTTGTACCTGCCTATTTATACGTGCTCATTCACAGATTCATGATCAATTCCAGCTGGATTTAGTTAGCGAATTGATAACCAGCTTAATTGTACTGCTAATCCAGATTGTAATTGTTGTAGATCAGGGGTGTCAAACTGGTTTCAGAAAGGGCCATGTGGCTGCAGGTTTACTTTCCAACTAATCTCATCAAGGGAGTCCAAAGTGAACATGATGACTTGATGATATGGAGTCTGGTATGCTATCGTTTGGTTGGAAAGGAAACCTGCAGCCACACTGCCCTTTCTGGAACCAGTTTGACACCTTTGTTGTAGATTGTTTTAACTGGACAGACTGAGAGCAAACCTGCTACGTTGAGTTCACTTCGTGGTTAGGTCCTCTGACCGGTTCTTCTGATCACAAAATTAAAACATCACTACTTGCAAGTCTATTGCAGTGGAACTGAGGTTCAGTAAACAATGCCGAGGATATAAACTGTCGGGAACCCTCCTGTTGCTCTGCTTTTTCCTCCAGCTCATACACCGAGCCTAGCACTGCACTGCAGTCAGTATCAGGTGAATAAAATAGTACTGCAACATAAGAACCTAAAGCATAGGACACTGGTTGCATGTAAATGTGTTTTCATTACGCTTTTAAACAGAAAGCTCGATGTAAAAATCGAACTCTTTGAATAGAAATTTCCTGAGATTATAATTGATTTTAGGTTTATCATTTATAAACTGGTTAAAATCATTGTAAAATTAATGTTCACACAAAGTTAGGTGTTAAAGGAACTACAATTTATAGAGAAGTTCAGACCATTTCATCCAGACAGAACTCTTGTTAACCAGCTAATTTATAAAATGTAAAATTTTATACTTCCTCTTAAGGTCGTAGGGAAGCGGCTGATCCAACTTTTACATTTCCGAATTCTCCCGAGTGGTGCACGACTTTACACGAGTGAATAGAGTGAATTTGATTGGTCGTTTATCAAGAATTTTTGTGGCGGAAGGTTTACAAGCAAGTTTGATTGTGGCCAGTTTGTCGGAAGCATCGTTGCTAAAAAGTTAGCAACTTAGTGCCAGTAGGTTTGATTGACAGATGACCGTTGATATATGATTGGCTGAATTTAGGCGTACAAGCTGACATAACTAACCGGCCTGCATAAGATAACGAAAAAAACAAACAAACAGATTTTAGGACAGGAGTTTTTTTTTAAATAGAATTTTTGTAAATTTTGGGACAATATCGTCTGATAAAGAGCACTATTCCTTAATTTTCCCTCAGCCCACAGAGATGATCCGATTTGGGCTCGTCCTGGGTAACCATACAATGACCAAACCACCAGGTGCTGTGGGCACCAATAAATGCAGACATGTGCAGAATTTTAAGTTGGTAAAGCACCATAAATCACCCATACCCTGACTATTACTTTTTTAGTTAAAGATTGTGGTTCTGTATGGAGGACCAGCTCTACCATATTTAAAAATACAGAAAAAAAAAAAAATGCTCAATAAATAAATAGACAATAAATTGCCCCCCCGAAAAAACGAATTAATGTAGGTAGAAATTAAATGATACAGTGAGACATATATAAAAATTTGCTTCTTTACTCGTATTTGTAATATTAACCTTATTTATTCATTGTCATCATAATCTTCAAATTTATTAATTCATTCTTTATTTAACTATTTATTTATGTGCATTTTATATAAAATTCTAATATTTTGTCTTTTATTGTTCCTTTGTATTTTATTTGTTTATTGTATTTTTGGGGGCAATTAATTGTATGCTTATATATTGAGCATTTAGTCATTTCTGCATATATTTTTAAATACGGTAGAGGTGGTCCTCCTTAGGTCTGGTGTCTTGAGAGAAGGAACTTTGTGATGAAAGTTGGTGGGGACGCTGGGGTGGGGAGCTGGTGGACCTACAGCTACTCAACTCGAATGCTTTCATTAGGTTTCTGTATTTTCCAAAAATGAGCTCAAACATATATTTATTGAATGCTTTCCTATTGTTGAGAACACAAGATAACTATAATACACTTATATTTAAAGATAGTTAGAGGGATGTCTTTTAGTGTATTACATATATAGGGCCCAAAAACAATGTATTAAAAAAAAAATAACAGAACAGCCGATTCTGAAGCCAAATCGACATACCATGCATCCTAGAAGTACATTTTCAATTCTATCCATCCAGAAAAATATGAATATGCATTTTAAATATAGCATAGCATATTTTTTTCTTGTAAACTTTCTGGTAAACTTGGAGATACATTTTATTGGGTGTTGCATATCCTAGTAAATCTGTTTCCCCTTTAAATCTGCAGCTCTCCCTACTTCTCTCTGTGCCGTTTAAAAAAAAAAAAGTATGAACCTCTTTACTAATATAAAGATGCCAGAAACAACATTTCAAGAGATGTAGAAGCTCTGCAGTCTGATTCTGTCTTTACAATAAGAAAACATGTTCATTTCAACCTGTAACTGGGAGTCATAGTCATGGTCCTCCGAGAAGCCCAGCTTTTTATAACTAGTAAAGTAGAACAAACTCTTTTCTCAAGCTTCTTGCATTATAATACTAACTTGCATAAACTTCCAACTTGTTGCCATTTTTAGCTGAAAAAGCACTGTATGTCAAACAAAGAGATTTTTCAGTGGTATGATCTCTAATTTTTTAACCAACCCATCTCCTAACTTTTACTTAAAGATCAAAGTAGCTGCTGGTTAATATTCTCTGAGTGCTGCTGTGTACCTCTCCACCAACCAACTTTGTATGCAGTGAAATGCGACCGCAAATCAGATGTCTCAAAGTGACAGATCCAATGATGTCACACAGAGACTAAAAATGCTCCTAACACAGTTAAGGGCTGGTTATCCTCCTGCAGCAGTGTGTTGCAGTGAGCTTGACGCAGGCATTTTTGATTTATGCTCAACATTGAAGCGTGGTCTGCAAAATACGCTATGGATCTAGATAAGGCTGAGGCGGTGAGGAAGTGTGTGCGACTTTGTCCGACAACAGAGGGACATGACGGCAAAAAATAGCGGGGATCCAGGTGCAAAAAGGGTCCCAGCGCACCTCACTCTCCTAGCTGGTCCAACTTCACGAGTTGTTTTCCGCCATTTGGGTCATAAAAACAAAATAAGTCGGCCTCCTGTCTGCGGTCAGTTACAGTTTGGGAGAGGTGCGGCAGAGTGTCTGCGGAGGGGACGCCTTATTGTTCACTGCCACACCTACGCAGAGGACCTGGTTTTGAAGTATAAATCAGCCTTTAGATGCACCCAACTTTGTTACCCTTGGCTAAAGTAAATAAGCAGAAAGGGAAAAATGTGGAAATTATTGTTGGGGACATGTCCCCACCAGTCCTTCAGAAATTTACGCCTGTAACTTGAGCAGTGATGAGAGTAACGGCGTTAAAAGTAACAGCATTACTATCGCGCTACCTTTTTTTTAGTAACAAGTAATCTAACTAATTATTTTGACTGTAACTATAACGCAGTTACCATTGCCGACACCCCGTTACTGCACATTACTCAGGTCGCACAATTAACCTTTTTTTTCATGATAGGACTCGTGCGCACCTTGTCACGAGAGAGGGAAGGATGAGATTGGTTGAGGTATAGTGAGATTAGACATCCCAGGTTATTAATTTCATACACTCACCAGATCTGAACGCCCTGTTAAAAAACTTCACATACATGAGTAGAGATAATGCAGCCTGATGATATTTACCCTGCATCAGATTCCGTTCCCCCCATGTTAAGAAGAGGGGAAAACTATCTGATGGGGTTTAAAAGCCCATTAGATAGTGTTCCCCCAATGTCATTTACGTTGAGTTGCAATAAAAGCAAAACTCTCTGCAGGTTCTTGTCTTTGTCGTCCATTCTATTAAGCTGGCTTTTGAAACACACGGCGAGAAGGTGGGGGCTGGGTGGTGAGGGTTACGAGGGCGAGAAACGCAAAAGTAACGCAATAGTTACTTTTAATAGTAACTAGTTACTTTTATTGTGGAGCAACTCAGTAACTCAGTTACTTTTTGGGAGAAGTAACTACTAACTATAACGTGCCCAACACTGGTCTTGAATCATAATTGTCAAAGCCCCCAATCAGGCCAGCCCTTAGAAACAGTTTTAGCTACGCCCCTGGAAATTAAACAGCTGTTATTTCCTCAGAAATAAAGACACGTTGCAAAAACAGAAAGAAAAAGTGATGTTACTGCCTGAATACAATTAAAAACATTTTAATTCAGATAAATAGACCGTTTATGAGGTAGTTCTTCAATTAAAACCTTTCCATATGTTTTACTTTGCAAGCTTCCTTTCTGTTTTTTGGTTTGCGTCGTGCGCAAAAAGCGCCAACAAAAAGCCTTGTTTATTGTGTTTTGCGCAGCTGTTAAACTCACCCACAGTCGTGACCAGAGTGTTTGCGAAGAACATGGAGGAGGCCAGGTCCCAGTTGGACCTCGCTGAGGAGTTGTGGAGCACAGAAACGCCGTACTTGTTGGCCGTCAAAACTTTGTTCAGGAACAGTTCGAGGGAAGCGGCGCTGACGCAGCTCTGGTTCAGAAACTCTTCTTTCAGCCTCTCTATGTCGTGGCGCAGTTTGTCCTCCATCGGCCGCTCGATGCTGGAGAACGCCAGCGCTCCGAACAGCAGGTAGATGATGTAGAAGAGGATGAACCCGGTGAGCAGCAGCCACGACCTGCCGACGGAATGCATGGCGGCCCAGCCGGCGGCGTCTGTCTCCTCCTGCTCCTCTCTGTGAGGGAGAACATCTAAGGGCTGTGCTAACGGAACTTGAACACCTCCTCCTGCATCCTCCTCCCACTGTGGAAATAGGAGGGTGTGTCCAGATGTCACGCGCGCAGGTGCATCCTGCTTCCTGATGGAGGGCGGCTGCTTCTGGCGGAATATAACTTTCAGAGCCTTTATTTTACCTTTCAGCTTGTGAAAATGTTCAATACTTTTGGTGTTCAGCACTTTGAGACAGCTGTGGATGATGTTAAAAGACTTTATATATAAACTGGTGCTTCTTCTGATTATAAAAAATAGAATTTAAAATCCTCCTTCTCACATATAAAGTCTTAAATGGCCAAACTTCATCTTATATCAGATATCTGATTGCTCCTTATGTTCCTAACAGAGACCTTCTCTCTCAATCTGCAGCTTTACTAATGGTTGCTAGTATTTCTAAAAGTAGAATGGGAGGCAGATCTTTTAGTTATAAGGCTCCTCTCCCGTGGAGTGAAATCCAACTACCCTGTCTACTTTTATGGGTAGACTTAAAACTTTCCTTTTTGATTAAGCATATAGTTAGAGTGGCTCAGGTTATCCTGAGCTATCTCTAAAGTTATACTGCTATAGGCTTAGACTGCTGGAGACCCCTTTTTCGCCATTCATCACTCCGACTCTGCAGAATCTGTTAGTTAAATCTCTAAAGTTATGCTCTCTCTGCTTTTTTTCATAGTAGCTTCGCCTCATCTGTTCCTGTTTGGCTGTGACTCCATCCTGTAGAGAAATATCTGCTGTGCTGCTGCCATCTACACCTTTCTTTATAGATGTTGAAGATCAGCCTGTTTTCCAGTGTAGTCCTGTTTCTCTGACTGTGACTGACTGAATGTGCTCCCTTCATCCTCTGTCATTGGAGCTGGCTTAGAGCTCGTCTGCCTGGCTTTTTGTTTCCTGGACGGAGCCGCCTTTTACAGTCGCTTTTTGTATCTCTGCTTCTGTCTCCTTGATTCGGCCTCGGCAGATGTAAAATGGATCACATCTCTGCTTTAATCTCCCACTTGGTCAAAGGAATAAATATTAAAGGAATAGTACACCCAAAACATGATTAGCCTTCATTTTCTACTCACCCCCATGCTGAACAACACTCTGGAGTACTTTTTTGATATCTCAAATGCATCTGGAGATCTGGGAGGCTTCTTGCTGTCTGCTGACATTCAAATAATGGAGGTCTATGGTGCCCGAGACAGAAAGGTCCATAAAAGTCCACAAAAAACGTGTCAATATTCCTCCATACTGCTCGTCCAATGTATTCCAAGTGTCCTGAGTGGGTAGCATTCAGAATTTACTCGAAACTAAGTCATTTAGAATGTTTTTAGAGCATAAACAGTAGTGTATAGGATTTCCTGAAAGCGCGCACATGCACGTTCACGACGCTACGGAAGCCGGCAGACCAAAACAGATGAAAGTGCGCATTCATCGTCTGCTCTGCCAATAATGCAAGCGTAGAAGAAGAAATGTGCTGTTTACCTGTGCAAAGAAAGAAACAACGAAAGAAAAATGTCTGAGGACTTCAGTGTTGAGGAAGAGCATGAGTTCTTTGCCGAGCTGAATGCGCTGGTTTGGTCTGCCGGCTTCCGTAGCGTCGTGAACGCGCATGTGCGCGCTTTCAGGAAATCCTATACACTACTGTTTATGCTCTAAAAACATTCTAAATGACTTTGTTTCGAGTAAATTCTGGATGCTACCCACTCAGGACACTTGGAATACATTGGACGAGCAGTATGGAGGAATATTGACACGTTTTTTATGGACTTTTATGGACCTTTCTGCCTCGGGCGCCATAGACCTCCATTATTTGAATGTCAGCAGACAGCAACAAGCCTTCCAGATCTCCAGATGCATTTGAGATATCAAAAAAGTACTCCAGAGTGTTGTTCAGCATGGGGGTGAGTAGAAAATGAAGGCTAATCATGTTTTGGGTGTACTATTCCTTTAAGCAACTGGCTCTTTAAAGCACTGAGTAAGCTTGGACCTCTTGAAGATGCTGGACAAATATGAACCCTATAAATCTTTACTGTCCTTAGAGACCTCTACCTTTTTTGTTCCCAGCACCAAGCATCTCTGTGCTTTTAATCTCTGGACCCAAATTCTGAAATTAGTTTGAAAAAGTTGAATTACAAATGAATTACAAAACGTTTTCATTAAGTACAGCTTCACTATGACATTTTCTTTGAATATCAATACCTTTCTGGGGAATTTTGAAATTTTATGGAGCATAATATCAGTTTTGTCCCACTGCTGTCCTCCATCTTTCCTGTGACCTTTGAGATTAGTTGAAAATGAAAGAAGGTATGCATTCAAGCGGAAGGAACATTTTCTCTATCTAGCTAACTGAAAATAAACTCACCTATCAAAAATAGGCCTCTCAAACAGATTCTCAGTTCTCTAAATGAGCTTGTTTTCTCGCACAGAGGTTGCTAAGCGAAACATAATGTTCCCATCCCACTCTTTACCAGAAATCACTCTGCTGTTGGTTGGTGCGTGTGCAAAAGGTGGAATGACTCGTGGTGTAAATAGTCAGGTCAGGCCAGTCTGCTGCCCGTTGGCTTGTTCTCTACAAGGCATGCAAAGACTCTTTTATCATGATGGCAGCTCTGACTCAGCACATCAACTTTGTAACTTCCCCTCGGAACACAAAGCGCTTCATTGATCTCAGCACTCAGAGATGTTACTGACAAAACACTGCAGATGCATATATCAGTTTGAGTCGCTTTAGTCTGACTGCAGACTGCACAAAAAAAATCAGGAACTGATTTAAGTGAAAACCGTGTCAACATATTAGGAGAGCTAAGATGACCCAGTTAAAAATGTCACACTGTGCTCAACTATATATTTTTCATTTATTTATTAACCTCCAGGGTTTTTAAAATCAGGCTGGTGTTTGTTAGCAAGATTAAACTGCAATCTTGTGACCAGGGAGTTTCTAGAGCAGGGACTATTTTAACAATTTTTTTTTAAGAGAGGAAAACTCCAAATTTCCAAAAACATTTCATTTTCAGTATATTTGCAATGGGAAAATAGGTTTACAGTATTCAGGCGATTTTAGCACATTGATCATACAAATACACTGGAAAAACGATCTAGAAGTAAGTAAAAAACTCTTAAATTAAGTGTATTTACCCTAAATTTAAGTAGGATAAATCATATAGTTTACCAATGGAATGAGTATTTTTACTCTTAAAATAAGATAATTAGCTAATATGCACTAAAAATAAGAGAATTCAATTGTGTTTCCTTATTTTAAATGAAAATTCACCTGTTCTATCGGCAAAGTGTCTGTTTATCTCCTAAATGAAAGAACAAATGCATTTATTTTAAGAAAAAAATGACTTATCTAGATTTAAATTTTTTCAGTGTAGCTCCTATATACAATTTTCTGTTCTCTGTTTATTTTAGTTAATTCCATCAATGTAAGTCTTTTTTTCCTCTAAGTTAAGTGTATCCTTGCGTTCAGTTCCAATTTCTCTTCTTAAGATGGCAGCAGGTTGGTTTGTCTCTTTTAGGCTGATTCTGATGCTTTTTTGAGGGATAAGTTTAGCCCCTCTGTTTGTGGATCAGAGTTTATTTAATTCAATGTTCTTTGCATCTGGTGTTGAATGCTTTGCAACTCCATTTTATAGTTTAGCTAATATTTTTTTCCTTTTTGTACATCTTTTCTGATGCATATTATAACAACCGCAGCAAGTTGTGTTTTTACACCCCGGAGTAGCTCACTAACATCTCTAAATTTGAAATAATAGTTTAGTATAGTATATAGTTTGAGTGGAAACGGAGCAGAAAGAGGAGCAGTAATTTTAAGCCATCTCTTCCATCGATCGTTAAAGGCAATGTGAGAAAGAAGTTAGAGGAACTCCAAGCCCTAGCAAGGATCCAGGGCCTTATTGGGACAAATTGGGACAGTGGCAGCACAAGAGCACCAGGGGACAGGGTTCTCACCATTTCTTTTTACTCTGTACAGCTCTGACTTCCAGTATAAGACGGACGCCTTTCATCTGCAGAAATGCTCCAAAGAATCTGCTCTCGTTGGGTGAGACTGAGTACAGTGAGCTGGTGAAATACATTGCTGCCCCACATCTGTGGGATGCCCTCCCTGACACCTTCAGGGCACCTCAATCCACTGACTGTTTAAAAAAAAAAAAGGCCTTAAAATATTTCTTTTTAGCAAAGCTTTAGGTCCCCTTTAGATGTTTTTCTATCTTCTAAGAATAGTAATTTCATGCTTTCCTCTTTTTTTACCTGTAGTACTTTGAGATCTTTTGATTGAAAGTGCAGTATAAATTAAATGTATTATTATTATTACTTTGTGACATGATGTGTAAACAATCATCTGACCTTTAATATGAACAAAACAAGGTTGATGTTTGTAGATTTCAGTAGAAAAGGGAACAAGTTGAACCCTATTGATATCATGGGAGAAGAAGTGGAAGTGGTGGAGGAGTACTTTGGTGTTCACCTGGACAACAATGATGATTGACGCCAAAGGAAGAAGGACGGCCTCACAGTCCATATGCAGCGTCTTTGGCGTTTGCAGATGATACGTATGTTCTATAAATCGGTTGTGGAGAGTTTGATCTCTTCTGCCATCTTCTGCTGGGGTAAAAGCATCAGAGCAAATGACTTAAAAAGCTTTATAACTTCAATTAGAGGCTTCTCCACATCTGGTGCAAGAAGACGCTACAGAAGATCCTTGCTGCCGACAGCTATCAGCATCCACAGCAACTCACTGAAGAAAAGGCAGGTGAGTTGCTTCATTGTTTAATTCGACTTTGAGATTGATAAAGTATTTCTGAACTGAATCAAATTTAATAGCAGTTGTCTCAATTAGGTCCTCCCTCAGATTCCCTGCTGCTCCTCACAATCCTACTATATCTCATGTGAATTTCTTTTCATTCTCTATTCTTCCCTATAGTGCTAATTTCTTCTTTTTTTTTTGCTGGATTGTTCTGTGAGATTGTCAGAAGCACCATTTTTTTTTTATTTGCTTGATTTCCTGTTCCATGACCAGCTCTCCATGCAATTTCCCTTTCAAGTTCCCTTTTATTTGATCACAGTGACTCCATCCATCTGGGTCGAACTAAACCTACAATCATATGTGATTAAATCTAGCTGCTGTCACCATCTTTATATTGCTCTCCCTTGTTCCGACTGTGCTTTGCTAAAAGTTGCCATGCACAGACAGAATAGTCTAGTGCATTGATCCACAAACCTGTTTGATCTGGTAGTAAATTATGCATTACAGCTGGGGTAGGTATTTGAATTCTCACTCAACTTAAATTAGTTTAAAAATGGAGAGTGTTACTAGTTATTTATTTGAATAAAGTAAAAATAACCATATGGGATTTGTGTTATATAGTGCACCTAAAGCACAGCGTTTTTAAATAGGTTATGAACCCAAATTAAACTGCTGCTCAGTGGAGCAATGAGTAGCACTGCTGCCTTACAGCAAGAAGGTTTGTAGTTCGATTTTTAACCTGGGGTCTTTCTGCATGGAGTTTGCATCTTCTCCCTGCGCATGCGTGGGTTTTCTTCGGGTACTCTGGCTTCCTCCCACAGTCCAAAACAAGACTTTTAGGTTAATTGGCTTCTTTAAATTGTCCTTAGGTGTCAGTGTGTGCATGAATGGTTGTTTGTCTCTGTGTTGCCTTGAGATAGACTGGTGGCCTGTCCAGGGTGTACCCCACCTCTCGCCCATAGACAGCTGGAGATAGACACCAGAACCCCTCAGAGCCTCAGCTGGGATAAAGCGTGACGGAAAATGGATAGATGAATCTTAAATATGAACTGTTTTCCACATGTTTACTTTTTAAATCTTGATTTTTAACAAAAAAGGGTGGGGATTTGTTTTTCTTTGAGGACACATCTGAAAAAGAAAAACAAGCTTTTTTCAACCAAAATGTAAGTTATTCTTACATGTTTGAGTTCACCATTAGCTTTGACACACATCAAAACCAATCAAAGGAACAGCCTGGAATCAGCTGTTTTCCCACACCTGAGCTCATCAAAGCAAGTTCAAGTGTCACGATAAATGATGAAAACAATGTAAAATAAATAGAGTCAGTCTGATTATAATTTTTGTTCCCTTTTCCTCAAGTTTAAATTTGATCATAGGAGACTTACTCAGAGGTGCTCCAGTTTTATAAAGGCAGACTTATAGTATGAGTTTAATTTGGATTTATTTTGACTGCTTAATAGCTTCCAGGCAACATATTTATGTTGTTTTTTTATGATATGGAAAGAATAAAATACCTAAGAATTAAAAGCTCAAGTTAAAAAGATTAAATAAAATACTTTTTATTTTATAATTGGTTATTTCCCCAGAATTTCCCCATTGTGAGTCAATAAAGGAATTTTCTATTCTGTTTCTATTCTATTGTACATTGCACTTGTGAACAGTCATCAAGACTTTTGACTGAGAGCTACTCATGGTAAGACAAAATGCCCAAAGGGGTACACAGGTCAAAAAAGGTTGGGAACCACTGCCCCAGGGAATAAAAAGTAAAATTATTTTTAGTTTTAAGAAAATCTGTGTTTTTAAATGTATAGCCACGTGATACCTGAGGGCATTTTAATTTATGCTTTATTTTCATCAGGTTGATCTACCTAGTATGGAATTCTGAATCAGTGGTTTCTGACGTATTCAACCCACTGTTCAAAATGGGAAAGATGATAAAAAAAACTAGAGGGATTAAAGAAGACATGTTTTGATCCTTCTAGTCAAGAAACGGCTACAAGGAAACATCTAAAATAGCCCATAACAGCAAGAAACAGCTGGAAACCGCTGAAAGTTTGACAAACAAGGCTGAATCAGGACCAATGTTAATCCTATTCCCAAATATTGAGGAGGTTGGAAAGCTCAGCGTTAGAGAACACGGGCTGGGCACCATTTAAGTGTCAACTATTTGTTTAGGTGACAAAGATCACAGCAAGATTGAGCCTTTTCCTGGCAAACAATGCAAGTTGTTCTAGTTTAAACTTATTTGTGCTAGGTATGGTAAATGCTGCATGATACTGTGGGCTTCTTTCCACCCCCAAATGGCTCAGGGACCTATTTAGAGTGCATAGAATCATCAACTTAATGAATTTTACACAAAAGTTATCGGTCCGTGTCAGTAAACATGGAATATGCTGTAAGTAGGTTTTTAAAAGGAAATATGCAATTTGTTTCATTTGAGATGTTATAAAAAAAGTTTGAAGTTGCATTTTGATCTTGATTTTGACAAAATCTAGTTTACATTCTATTGAAAAGAAATCTTAGAACAAAGGACTCAGATTTCTTACTCCTCGGGTGTTACTGACCTTTTATTACATCAGTCATCCTGACTGAAACAGATCTGAAAATAAGTCTTTTTCAGAACTTTCAAAGCTGTACAAATGGCACACACAAGCATGATTGTTCATAGGTTTCATCACAAATGAATGAGCTGTTAAAGAGTATACAACAGAGAGAAGAAAGGATCTGCATGTCAAAACTGAAAAACTCATGAAGAGTCATTAACAAGGTGGATGTTTCAGTTTCCACTGGCAGGTAGTTTGTAGCTTTAAATGGGATGTGGACTCAGCTGTGATAAACTGAAAGGAGAATAAAAGGCAACAGGACAGAGAAACATGCTGTTTTTGAGCCACTTTCAGGGCTATAGAGAAAACCAACATCTCCTCCTGAAAGGGTCTGCTTTGCCCGTGTAACCTAGTGAATATTGGCACTTTTCACTAGTGGTCCAGATGGCACTAACTGGAAGACAAGCCTGTTCCTTTCAAGAATCATCCCCAGATTCCTTGATATCATTATCTGCAGGTAAAAGACTTTAAAAAGTTTCTGAATTGTTTTCATACACAGCATTGAATGCCACAAAATGATGCTAAACTTGACTCTTCCATGTGCACGAATGCAGAGGATGTTGGAGATGAGCAGGGTTACGTTCCCCTGCAGGTTCCTGCTCCATTAAAAGAACTATAAAGAACAGGGGGGGGGGGGGGGGGGGGGGATTAACAATCCAAGGAGTGGATTTTTGCATAAGTTATACCAGCCTCCAGAAAGGCTCAAGCCACCATGTTAATACAGAGACTGTAAAAAAAAACACTAAACCGTATGGAGCTACTTCTTTCCATATAAGTAAACAAAAACAACACAGACTGAATCCTTTCGGTCCCATTAGTGGTATTGGAATATTCCCTGCTTTGAAAAGAACCAAGCCCATCATAAAAAAACTAAGCTACTGCTTGAGCAGGGTTACGTTCCACTGCAGGTGAAAAACCATCAAACGCCTCAAATAAACACAAACTATAGATTTAAAATTTGTTCGCAGAGAATTATACATTTCTTTTATTAAAATTGAATAGACAGCTTCAGATATATTAATTAACATAAAATTTCCTTATAATTAAATAAGATTATGCTTTAGGCCCCAGAAACCTTCGATTAGTCCTAAAGAAATGTTGTAAAAATTTGTTGACCTAGGCGGTGGGGATGTAGTATGTGTTTTTTTATGTTCAAAAACTCTGTCAGGGTTGAAATGCAGTAAGATGTTTGCTTTCACTCTTCATGATTTTAATGTTTTATTAAAACTTTAATCTCTTTTCAAAATGAGATGAAATCTAATTAACTGCTTTTAATCAAAAGTGGATTGTGTCGAATCAACAGAGGGTGAAAATAGAACATTCTTTGACCTGAATCCTCTGATGAATGATATTAAAGCTTCTAAGTCTTCAGTCAACTTTTAGTTAGTTTTTATGTGAAGCTGATTGTTTCTATTTGTAGTATAAAATATATTTTTTTAATGGATTGAAAATAGTTTCTGGTCAGTTGGGTTTTTTTTTAAAGGCAAACATCAAAACGGGATCAAAGAAGCCAGCATGAAGCTGCTGGAGTGGCTCTAACCTCCAAAGCATTAAACAGTGGCAGGTTATATTCTGCAAACTGGATCCATAAAAATAATTTCATCTATAAAAAAAAAAACAACAAAAAAAACAAGAACATTTCCCAAAATAAGATTAATAGGGGACAAATATCCACTTCTAGCCGAAGGCTACAAAAAGCCAGTGGTCAGGATCAGATATACAAAGAGCTTTGACCGTATGCTGATTAGAGACCCAAACTGAATGAATCTAAACAGATTGATCAGAACATAAATTGAAAACCGAGTTCCATCTTTAATCACTTCTTATAACCAAAAATTTTAAGATCCATAACAGGTCTGGCTGAGCCATAACAGATTAAATCCATTTTTCAGAGTTTAGCAGATTAGAAAGCATGCAGGGCTCCCAAAACGGTGGAAAAACAACTAAAAACACAATTAGTGGAAATAGCAGCTAGGAAGTGGTTTTGTTAACAATGCTTTAATATCACATGAAGAAAGAAGTTGACTACAGTAAAAAGCAGCTTTGCTTTAATATGATTTTCTTCTGCAGAGAATGACTACTATTCCTGCTTGTCATTTTCAACATGGTGGCGAGGACCTTGGATCTGCTGTGTTCAGTTCAGGATGGGAGGTGATGAAGGAAAAGGTGGGAGAGGTGAGAAACAAGAACATGCCTCCTGTCGACATCGACTTTCCCGAAACACAGGCGACACCAGCCGCTCCATTTTATATTCACTGTCTTCCTTATCTGCTGGGCTTGAATAAACCAGAGTAAAGGAAGATAATAGATCAAACAAACGCTCCACAGGAACCTGCCGTCCTTCAGGTTAAGCACAGAAACCAGCGGTCCATCCTCAGCACAAGAGGCCGCCTCACTCCACGACGTTTCTGTTGTAGTCGTAGGAGAGTCGTCGCTTTGCAGCAGAGTGCTGATTGGCCGAGGATAGGCCAGGGGACAGACGCCGGCTGCTCGTCCAGGAAGTAGGTCTGCTTTCCTGTGAAGACAGGGACAAGAAGAAATAAGGCGACCAAAAGGGGCGACCATCCTTCTTTTCACATTTATAGAAAAAAATAAACTAAATTCATTTGAAAAACGGAAAGATTTTTTTTTTTATATACTAAGCAACCTTTCTTTACTGGTCACTTAACCGTTAGCAAAATGCAACCATTTACATAGTCCTTAACATTTAATAAGAAAAACAAAATTATAAACAAAAATGTAATTGAGGCACCATCTAAAAGGAAAATAAAACTTCTGTTTCCCAACTGCTATGGTGGTGTCTGGTTATCAATTTATTTCAGTCTTTAAAAAAAACCTTAATACACTTAATAAAAATGCACAGCATGTCCTCTAAGCAATTAACTGTAGATGTTTGACAAAAAAAAAATTCTGAATACATATATTTAATAGATATGTATAAACATATGATAAATAAGCATTGGTATTATTATATTTATACCAATGCAAAAATGAGAGAAAAAAAAATCAAATAAATAAAAACAATAATAAGTCAGCTTAACGAAAACTTAAACAATAATTTAAATAAGAAAATGAATTGCCAAAAACAAACGCACAAAAAAATTTTTTTTGAAAAAAAAAAAGAAAATGTAATTTTGGACTGTAGAGCATTTATTTCAATGCAAGCCTTCGGCTTTATGGCCTGATCTGCTGTAGCCTCTGATTTGTTCTGTAATAATTAATCTACAGTGTTGGTGTTTTAAATGTGCTGCAGGTTTCATAGAATCCATGCAGCCCCATACCCAGTTTGTTCAGAAAAAAGTACATATTTCATTTTTTTCACAAGGAGCAAAGGCAGAAAAACAGCTGATGCAGGGTAAGCACTGCAACATGCAGGCAGAACTCATTGTGTTGTTTTGATATCTCACAGATATCTGGTGTGAGCAGTGGCAGCTCTTTACTCACAGGAAGTGGCTGCTGCAGCTGCAAAGTTTTGAGAAGCAGGTTCTGAGACGCACTGTTGGATCTCCTGTTGCTTTGGCCAATCATTTTGTTCAAGTCATGGAAAGAGTCCAAAAGCCTTCAGAGAAAAACACACAGATGAAATCGACAGAATGAACAGTGATGAAGAGACCTACAAAGTTTACTTTTTAAAATTTATCTTGTAAAAGTTTATTTAATATCCCTTAGGGATTAATAATGTACTTTTGGATTTAATATAATTACTGTTTAATGAACAAAGTTCTGTTAGGATAGCATGCAAATAATAATAAAGATTAATATTTTACCTCCAAAAGTAATATTTAAAACACTCCATTGGTCATATTAAACATCTATCAGCCAATTTATTTCAAGATTAGGGGTTTATTAATGGCATCAGGTTACTTTGTCTGATGGAAACTAAAGCTACATTCATGCTGCAGGCCTTAATGATCAATTCAGATTTTTTTGTGTGAAATCGATTGTTTTGCGTGGTCGTTCATGTTAGCCTAACTAACAGCTTTACTGTCCCGCATGTATTAGAGGACATAATGACGCAACTAGCAGCGAGCGTGCTCTCTGTTTACGGAAGTAAACATGGATGGTAGTGCTGAAGCCCAACTAGCAATCTTTAATTTCAATTTCCAAACTGAGGCAGTAGATTAACAACACAATCTTTCACAATCAAGAAGAATAAAAAGAAAGACTGCTCTCTGCATTATTGTCTGGATTGGTTGTTTTTCTTCTTGATTCTGCATATCAAGATGCAGAAAAGGGACCTTTGCTGAGTGCTGCTGATGCTCAGGACGGATGAATGTGACCTGGGCGTTCACACAGGCTGCATTTGAAAAGATCAGATAGGTCTCAGATTGAGGACCACATAGCCAAGTGGCCTGGAGCGTATAAAAAAAAAAAAAAAAAAAAAAAGGAACTGATTTGGGTCCCTGCAAAGAGCAGTGTGAATGTGGCCTAAAAGATCTTAACCATTTCTAAAGAATCCTGCAGTTCACCTAATTCACCACACGGGGGCTACATTCTGCCTCCTTTCCAACAACTTTAAAGCTACAGTGTGTAATTTTCAGCGACATCTAGTGGTCAGACTGCAGACTGCAGCAACATGAACGTCTCCCCCCCACCGCTTCTCCCCCCCAACAGTACGGCGAGCGTTACGGGACAAAATGTCTTCCACGACGTCCGCATCACCTACCTTCTCAAGTGATGAGGTTTGTTTACATAGATAATTTTACAGATAGTATTTCATTAGTCTGTGTAGGGTATAGATTTCATGTAGACTTAAGATAATAAATATACCCGTTATTTTTTCTACGTCGTTGTGACGTTTTGGTGAGCTGCTTTGCATGGTGATATAAACAGACGAAGTAATTGTAGTCATTAGTTTAACAGCGAGATTGTGTTCGCTGGAAGAATATATATTCCCCGTTTACAGAGTCCAAGTCTTGTTTGTGGCACGGGGGTTACAAGGCAAGGAAGAGGGAAAGGAAGAGGGCAGAGAGGCCGGGGTGAGCGTGCAGCTGGGGCCAGGCGAGAGAGGGGAGCCAGCGGGGTGAGAGCAGAGGAGGAAAGGCTTGAAGATCTCCAAAGGAGCCGGAGAGAAGTAACCGAGGTATATATCCAGAAAATTATTTTACAGAAAATTACTGAATCATTACCTGTGAAACGTCAGGGACGTTGCTGAATAAGTATACTGGAGAGTAACAGCATCATCACGCAGCATGTTATTGTTTTAGACAGGTCTGAGCATCCTGTACTCCAAAAACTGCAGTGATATTAGACAATTGTGTGTATAGGATTAATTACCTGTCCAAGAGAAAACTGGCAACTTGAGCGTCACTTTGAAAACCTTTTTCCTCCATCAGTGACTTCCATCGTGTAAATGCCGTGCCAATGTTGATCCGTGTTTTTTGTCGTTTCTTGTCACTCTTGCGTTTATTCTCGTCGTGTTTCCGCTTCTTAGATGACGGGGGTTCGGTGTCCGCCGCTTTTCGTTGTGATACAGAGTAGGCATGATCCTCCATTCGTCTGATGTTTGGCCACACAGTGCCAAACAGTTTGCAAAGTCACTCACGCCTGCCGCCTTGTTCACCTTTCTTGTTACTGAAGCGCAGTATACCTGCTTCTTCTTCTTCTTTGGTTTCAGGCAGACTAAACGCTTCTCAGGCATAATACTGCCATCTACTGTTCAGTACCGTCTCAGTTCATCTCTCTCAACTTGCCGTAGTTATTTTCGAGCGTCATGGGAGATCTCGCAATCGCTAGTTTGTTGCCTCTGCGCTGCCGTAGCGCAAAGATGTCAGCCTCCATGGCTGCGAGACCCGCTCCTATGTAATTATAAATAACGAATTCTAAGGCAACGCAAATGTTATGGTTAAAAGGCTGAGCTCATAGGTGATGATAAATAACATAGTTATGTAAAATATATTAAATTTCTGAATTTATATGCCTGTAATTATTACACACTGTAGCTTTAATTGAGTTTTCCCTGTCCCCCCCCCTCCCCTTTTTTTTATTTTTATAAAATAATAGTCATCAGGAAGAAACTTTGCATGCTGACAAGTCAACAGGTTTTATTGTATTAAATCAGATTTAAGCTCATGTTTCCAGATTTGCAAGAATTGTTGTCCAATTTTCTTAGCATGTTAAAACAAAATCAGATCAGAGAAAAAAAGTAGAAGTTCAATCATTTTGATCAGACTGAAAATTATAAAGATTAAATTCAGCAGTAGATTTTATTTCATACACAGATAAGAAAAAGCAATATTTCTAAATTTAAAATTGAAATACTAAATCATTTAATTACATGGCTTTATATAAGATGTCAAAATACATCCTTGATCTCCCTTTTACAAAAAGATTTGTAGGAAAGGGAATTATCTAAAAGCACAAAAAACAGTTTTAGCAATTTTAAATTATTATTCCATTTTAATTATACATTTGTTTTTAGAAGTTATTCCATATTTATGTAGATGAAGCCAGATCTTTAGACATTTAATCAAATTCAATTGGACAAAAATTCTAAGACATGAAGAGCATCGTTATACAAAAATTAAACAGAAGGCATTAAAACTTTATCTATAACCCATAAATTAAAACAAGATGTTTGCAGCATGTCAACATAATAATGCAACCATTTTTGGCATTTACTTAATCATACACTCACCGGCCACTTTATTAGGTACCCCATGCAAGTAACGGGTTGGACCCCCTTCAGAACTGCCTCAATTGTTCGTGGCATAGATTCAACAAGGTGCTGGAAGCATTCCTCAGGGAGTTTGGTCCATATTGACATGATGGCATCACACAGTTGCCACAGATTTGTCGGCTGCACATCCATGATGCGAATCTCCCGTTCCACCACATCCCAAAGATGCTCTATTGGATTGAGATCTGGTGACTGTGGAGGCCATTTGAGTACAGTGAACTCATTGTGATGTTCAAGAAACCAGTCTGAGATGATTCCAGCTTTATGACATGGCGCATTATCCTGCTGAAAGTAGCCATCAGAAGTTGGGTACATTGTGGTCATAAAGGGATGGACATGGTCAGCAACAATACTCAGGTAGGCTGTGGCGTTGCAACGATGCTCAATTGGTACCAAGGGGCCCAAAGAGTATCAAGAAAATATTCCCCACACCATGACACCACCACCACCAGCCTGAACCGTTGATACAAGGCAGGATGGATCCATGCTTTCATGTTGTAGACGCCAAATTCTGACCCTACCATCCGAATGTCGCAGCAGAAAACGAGACTCATCAGACCAGGCAACGTTTTTCCAATCTTCTATTGTCCAATTTCGATGAGCTTGTGCAAATTGTAGCCTCAGTTTCCTGTTCTTAGCTGAAAGGAGTGGCACCCGGTGTGGTCTTCTGCTGCTGTAGCCCATCTGCCTCAAAGTTCGACGTACTGTGAGTTCAGAGATGCTCTTCTGCCCACCTTGGTTGTAACGGGTGGTTATTTGAGTCACTGTTGCCCTTCTATCAGCTCGAACCAGTCCGGCCATTCTCCTCTGACCTCTGGCATCAACAAGGCATTTCTGCCCACAGAACTGCCGCTCACTGGATGTTTTTTCTTTTTCGGACCATTCTCTGTAAACCCTAGAGATGGTTGTGCGTGAAAATCCCAGTAGATCAGCAGTTTCTGAAATACTCAGACCAGCCCTTATGGCACCAACAATCATGCCACGTTCAAAGTCACTCAAATCACCTTTCTTTGCCATACTGATGCTCGGTTTGAACTGCAGGAGATTGTCTTGACCATGTCTACATGCCTAAATGCACTGAGTTGCCGCCATGTGATTGGCTGCTTAGAAATTAAGTGTTAACGAGCAGTTGGACATTGACATGAAGCAATTGTGTTAAAATAAATAAATATGATTAAGTCGATGCCAAAAACAGTTGCATTATTTTTTGTGGAAAGAGATCAAACATTTTCTTTACTTTTGACATCAGAAAGAGGGTAATTTTCTTCCTGTAACCTGCAGTTAAAGCAGCTACGAGCAGAATTGCCGGAACCTTGAGCACTGCACATGTGCAAACAAGGTAGTTCTTCTTCTTCTTCCAGATTGACGAGTCCAATCAGGGGCATCTCTCAGCACTGATTCCAACATGTGGTTTTTGGGCAGGTTTTTGGCACATTGTGAGCAGTGAACTTTTAAACCCTACGGTTTAGTCGTACAGTATGAGCTGCAGCTGAGTACAACGACTGAAAATATCATACAGTATCTGCCCGGGTTTAGCAGCACATCCTGGTTGGGATGGATCACCTACCCCTGCTCCTGTCTGGCCTCGTCCCGGAGGAGCCGTGTCAGTGTGGGAACAGCTTCCAGGTCACAGGAGTCACCTGGAGAACAACTAGGCAGCGAGGGGAATGCATCAGCAAAGACAGCCGCCTGCAGGAGAGACAAAGAAACCTCAAAACCTCAAAACTGTGCATCTTGTTAAGCTATTTATCACATCTTATGTAAATACTTCACATGTAAAGAAGTATTTAAAATATCTAATCTAAAACCACCCCCCTTCTCCCTGCAGCAATAAAAATGCCCTTTTTCATTTGCATCTTTGCTCTGACTGTGTTTAATGTCCACTGAGACTTTTCCACTGCAGCTTTGTCTTCCATCTTTTATGACTGTTCTAAAAGTAAATCATGCTGCTGTGCAAAACCCAGAAAAGTTGTTAACCTAAAAACACTCGTCATGCTGGGCACTGTGAGGAGCTGTGCTGCTGTAGGGAAGGCAAAGATGACTGCTATTAGACGGATATGTGGATGAAAAGATTTCTTCTACGTTCTGCTTTCATAGATTTAAAACAAAACATCAACTAAACTTAGTGTAATGAAGTTTTGCTCAAAATTTAAATCCTAACAAGTTCCCTGCAAATGAGCCCAATCATAATTCATTTTACTCCAAACATTAATAGATTAGGGAGGAAGTTTTGAAGAAGTTTAAGGCAATATCCCAACTTATGAAGATCTGAAAATGAAAACCAGTGTTTAAATCTGTGCCTGGTTCAACACACAGTTTCTGCTCAGCCTGTAACAAAAACTCCTGCCATTGAACTAATGATTAGATTCAGTTATGATGAAGCCATGAGAGGTTCTAGACAGGAGCAGACAGGGGCCAGTGCCTATGTAGAAGTGATCCTGGCCCCTGTTGTGGCCCCCGTATGAAAAGCATACACTGCAAGTATGTTTTTTTTTATTACCTGAATATTTCTTTTCATTTGGGTAGGTTGGCCAGACATTTTATACATCAAATAAGATGATTTACATTTAAAATAAGAAAAATAAACCCCACCCATTATCTTATTTTAGAGGCAAAAATAATTATTCCTTTACGTAACTGCTCAAATTAAGAGCAGATACATTTATTTGAGGAACTTTTTTGTAATTTTCTAGATTCGTTTATGTAGTTTAACACCAAACATATGCTGGTCAAGATTCTCAGTCATCCAGGTCAAAGTTATTCCAAAAAAAGTTAAAAGTTAAAAAACAATCCACTGGACTTTGGTTTTTAGGTTTCGCTTCCCATCCAGGAAGCTTTTTCAATTCAAAATGTCAGAAATAGCGTTGAGTTTGAGGCTTTATAGAGTGGACCAAAAACAAGCCTTGTTTTGTCTTAGTTGATTCCTTCCCGCTATCATCTCAGCCCCCTCCTCCTTACAGGGGAACAGAACATCTCCCCTGTTCAGCCAGGCCAACAATTCCCCCTAACGGCCCCCCGTTCAGAGACATAAAAAGGTATTGGTGAAAAGAACCCAAACCACCCCCATTCCAAATGGGCGGACCCATTCATCCAGTTCAATTTGCATGATTTCTAAGCGAAAACAAGGCTTTGTTTTTGGTCCACTCTATAAAGCCTCAAACTCAACGCTATTTCTGACATTTTGAATTGAAAAGGCTTCCTGGATGGGAAGCAAAACATCTCCAAACTTGGAAACAAAGTCCAGTGGATTGTTTTTTAACTTCTTTGGAATGTTTATAAGAGTGTACCTGATTTATCTCTTGGACCGATTTAAAGATATAGGGAGGATTTTCATGAATTTTTGAAAAGACCCGCTCTCTCCTTCTTTAGAAAAAAAAAAACTCAAGTGCAAAACCCTGTACCTGCTCTCAACAGGAAATTCTTATTAAATGCGTGCGAGAGCGTGCACAAGCCCATTTCTCCTCATTCACGCTCTGTTTAAAATGTTCTGTTTGCATTGCTATGCACCACTCTGTCAGAGTCACCACTGTTAAGTGAAAATGGGGACGAGCACGTAGGACAGCCTTACGTAAACATATTACCAGAATGATTGACAATCAGGAGCACCAATCATTTTGATGATCCACCTGGAAAAAGAACACCCTCCGATATATCTTTAATATTTCGTCTTTACAATATAGCAAGAATTATTGAAATATTACAGTCAGCCTTAAGCTTTACTCTTATTGAGATATAATTTACAGTTTTCATCTGTCAGATCAGTGGCCTGCAACCTTGGTTTTGTGACTTACCTAATATACTAAACGATGCTTTCCCTCTTTTTTTGTGTACATGTGTTTGTTATTCCCTTGTCCCTTGTCTCAACCAAAAAAAAATATATATATATCTTGCCCCCCTGCTGTAACTGGTCCAGAGACACCATCGTTTGCAGCACAGGCACATCTAAAGGACTAGAGTGCGACCCTTGTGGTTTTAATAAAAGCATGCTTATGTGCTAGAATGGCCCAGTAGGTCCAAATAGAAATCCAACTTGTTAAGACCCTGTTTTAACCCCTGTTAAAACATTATTATTTATATTCACAGAAGCTCTTTATTTGATCTGACTGAGCTTCAGATCTGTAAGAAGAAGAATTTGCAGCGATTTTAGTCTTTAGATGATTAAAGCTGGTCGAGATATAGTAGTTAGGAGTTTTGTAAAGTATTAAACCTGATGGTCTGAAAAGCAAATGCAGGCCACACTTTTCAGATTTTTTACATTTGTTAAACATGTAGATATCAGAAAATTATAACTTTCCTGCATCTTAAAAATGATGACCTACTTTATGTTATATCTAAACCGATGCGGAAAACCAGGGGAATAAATCTGGTGGTAATCTGTTACCGCCTGTTTTATTTATCTGCATATTCTGTTAATCAGTCACTGAGCAGAGAACTGCTCATTCGGAACTTTATCCAAAACATCAACTAAAGAAATGACCTTGAAATGTAATGATGAGATGAGATTGGAGAACAACAACCAGATTAACTAAAGAGAAAACATGTGACCAAGGAAGGTTATGTTCTCAGCTAACAGCTTGGATATTTCTGGATCATTTCACAGTTGAAAAGGGTTGAAGCTACAAACACATCAAAATCAGCTTCTTTGCTTCCAATGTGCTTAGACATTTTAACAATAAATATATAACTAGAAAAATATTCTATGTTAAGAGGTAGAAATGGCAAAAATGGTGTAAATATGTACGGCATTGACCTGAGGCTTCAGCTATTAAGTGTTCATTAGGATGACACCCTGTTAACAGCGCTCTGTAGCGCCGACCTGAAGGCATGACACCCAAACAGCTTGTGTCCAGGTTGTTGTAGGGTTTAACGACCCTACGCCTTAACAAGTCAATTTTAGTCTTCTAAAACAGGCCCTGTAGAACAAAAACATCTAAACTTTAGCCAAAATGTTTAAGGGACCGTTTATATTTCATATCAGAACCCTTCTAAGCAGGAAGATAAAGACAATAAAGCTGATGTAATAAAATAGAAACGCTCTAAAGCAGGGGTGATCAATTAAAAATCAGCGGGGTCTGAATAAAGAAAATCGAAAACCAGTAAAGGTCCGGAGACGTTTTTACTTATAATCCGTTACTTTAAACAGCATTTAACACTGAAATAAAATGAGGTGTTTTAAATAACTTTTTAAATAAAAAGATATAGAAAAAAAAAGAAAGAACATTTTTTGATTTTTAAATGTACAGTTTTTTTTGAAGTAGAGAACAACAATCGTTCAGTTTGGTATATAGACAATTTCCTGATCAACACCTGAACCAACTGTTTGTTATTTTCTTTTTTTTCCTGGCTTAATGAGAGAAGTTGTCTTTACGTTGACCTCCAAGGCTTTAAACCTGGGTTTGAATGGAGACAAAGCCATTCTAAAGCACATATCAAGGTGCTCATTTGGAGCGTGGATCCATATTTATTGTTGACTATGTTCATGATGGAGAATCCTGCTTCACAGCAGCAGGTTGAACCAAACATACTCAAAATGTACAGGGTGATCTTTGAGCACACCATTTCACTTTTCTTTTACCAGTTCACTGCAGTTCTTCCAGCAGTCCACACTTTCTCTGCTTTTTCTCATCATCTTCTCCTTCTTTCCCATCGCCCGGCTTGCCACAGGTTTGTCTGCTGTGTCTCAAAGTAGCAGCAGCAGCAGCAACCCAGACTGACAGCAGCTCATTGGCTAATTTTTATCACATGTAGCCTGGTCCCGGAAACACTGGAGGGCTTTATCGTACAAACAGGAGAAGCGGTGCAACTGAAGTTAGACACTGCCGTCAAAAAACATGCGGTAATTTATTAATGTTTTAAATCAGATTGGGTCCGAATTAAGGTCTGGATCAGGACTCTGGTCCGCTTATTCATGACCTCTGCTCTAAAGCAAGCTATAACAAAAGAATGATTTGTTAATGTTAACCAACCGAACTAAAGCCAGAAGCGTACCAGACTGTGATTGGCTGGAGATCCGTCTCTCCACGCCTCCACCGCGCTGGCCGGCCACCACTGTTTCACAGCATCCCTGCTTTCATCCGTCGGGTCCTGAGGGAAAGCTGTCCAGTCGTCCTCTCCATTATTCGAATGCTTTCCAATTCCTGTTTGTGAATACAGATGAACAAATGATTGTATATCTTTAAGTAATTAATTATACTGTTATTATCCCCAATAAATTAGTTCTTGATGAATCAATCTCTCACTGTGTTTTTATGTTGCCTGCTTTCTATTTGTCCTTTTCCCCTCAGAGTCCAATTTGGTTGAATTCAGTTTGTCCCTTTGATTCCTGCAGCCCTGCCTTTCCTCCCTGGCTCAGACGCTGCATGAAGAATCCACCTGACACTTCATCTGTGTGAATGTCTCCTTCTCTCATGGCCCAATAACCTGAGGCTAACAGGAGCTTAGAGTTCTCGGCTCCCCTTTTCTCCTCCCCCTCCATCAGCCCAACTCTGAAAGATTAATAACATGTAGTGAGGGGGAGTAGCCTGCCAAAAATCCAGGTCAGGACAGACGAGAATAATATATCTGCTCTGAAAGTGCTTTCTAAAAACAAATATTACTTATGTTAATAGTAGAAACTAAATTTATATTAATCAACAAATCTTGTGTTTTATGGATTATATTATGCTTTTACTGGACTATAAAACAAAGGTGGAAGCTATTTTTTTGTGAAGGTTTCTGTGATTTAAATAGACATTATTTAACCTCATTACAGCGGGGCATTCCATTTGGACTCGGAATACAAAATTCCCGACTTCCAGGTTGTAAATTTGAAATGGAAAGCCGCCAAATGTTGGAAATATGAGTCGGAAAGTCATGATACCCGAATTCCTCAATCAAGAAGGGTGCCATTTGAATCAACAATACGTTCCTTCTTTCTTATGCATTCACCTTGGAGATTACATCATTCCAACTAGTTCATTCCAACTTCAGAAGAAAGCAAATAAGGAGCTATGTGCTACATCTGACCGATTTCTTCAGGTAACAACCAAATACTATGATCCTCTACTTTCCCATTAAAAGCGACACACCAAGCGCCTTAGCTTCAGCTAACTTCCTTGATAGCTTGATATCAGTTATAGGGAGAGTGCAACAACAAAGTGGTATTTACATTAAAAGTTATCAACAATGGAGGAATAGATGGGTGAACAGTTGTGGTGCAATGCAAAAAATTAGATAACCAGCACTCCAAGGTTCTTTATGAACTTAACGAGGGGAAGTTTTTCCTTCAAAATGTGTTAATCTAGTTAAACTTATGAAGAACCTTGAAGAATAACCTTGAGAGTGCTGGTTATCCAGATTGGAAGTGTTTGCCCGTTCAACATCTTTTGCATCTAAAGCCACTATGCTGCTGGTTTTAATAAAGTTGCACAGCTGACCAGTCCAGGATTGTTAAAATGCCAGAAACGGGTAATACGTAGCTTTTTGCATTAGATAACTATGATGTCTTCTAACAAAAAAAATAAATACTGACAATTAATGCTGCTAATGGAGGGGCTCTAAAACCTACTGAAGCATAACGGGTACTTACTTTTTTACTTAAGCAGCTTCATGCTGACTTTGCTCTTATTAAAAAACAAATGTCAGAGCTCTGGAAGGGGAAGAATGTAATGTACAACAACAAAGCAAATCACAGCCAGACTTCATTTGAAAACTAAATGCTGCTGCATTCCTGAGAGATCAGAAAAGGTTCAAATCACTCTAATACTCTAAACCTGCTGGTAATTCCTGCACAACATAGAGTCTTTCTATGAATGTGTGCCTGACAGCCTTGATAGAAAGGGTTGATCTAGTTGGTGGAAAACAGGAAGGAGAAAATCATAATGATTTGAAGGATGAAAAATAGACAAGACAGAGTGAGAAGTGATAAAATACCAAAGCTGGGACTCACCAGTACTCCCTCTGCTTCTACAAGGCACAGAGGCAGACATGTTAACCCCCTCGCTCCAGGCTGCTTCACCCTCTGCCTGCATGAAGACTCCAAACTCATCCTCCTCCTCCTCATTCCTCCCTTCCTCAGTGGCCACGGTGGAGCTCCTCACCTCCTCAGCTTTCTCCTCCAGCTCTCCCCTTGGACTCCTACTCTGTTTATGTCCTCCTCCTCCATGCCCTACTACCTCCTCTTTCTCCGCCTCCACCTCCAGACATGGCAGGCCGGTTACCATGGATGCCAGAGAAGGGGCAGGATTAGAGGTGGGGGGATCAGCACCATTACAGACCACTGTGGGTTTCTGCCCATTTGTTTCCACACACGTTGAAGTGTCGCCCTCTTTTTTCCTGCCTGGCTCCTGGGACGCTAGGCTGCAGTTGTCCGCTGAAGCCCTGCTCCTCTGCTCTTCTTCATCCCTGCTTCCATCATGCAGCTTGCTGCAGGTGCACTCCTCCTCTAGATTCCCAATCCTTCCCTCCAAGCTTTCATAGACAGAGAGATCTCTCTGTCTGACAGGCGAACACAAAATTCCTTTCTCCTCCTGTTGGCTGTTGTTTCCTGTGGTTTCCTTGTTCACAGTGTTGCTCTCATCAGCTGCAGAGTTTGGCTTTAGAGGCTGAAGGTTGCAAATATTTGTTTCTTCTTCAACCGCACACTTATCTTCTCCTTCTGGGCCAAGTTCAACTTTAAGCTGGTTTTGATTGGCATAAACCCAGAAAGTGTCCTGATCCGTACTGCAGACGCTGCCCTCTGCAGGATGGGAGGACTCTTTTGTTTGGGTAATAAAGACTAGAGGAGGACACTCCATTTCTTTGTTGGTTTCTTGTTCTGTTTCTTGCTTTGTTTCATTTTCAGGCTTCCTGTGACTCGGTGTCACCATGAACTCCCTGCTGCTCTCATGCGTCCCGGACATGCCATTGTTTGCCTCCTCATCTCTCCTCGTTAAGTCACCCGGCAGGAGAGACGTTAGGGCCTTCAGCTCCTCCACTCCTTCACCTCGTCTTATTTCTTGATCATCAGAGGTCCTGTTGGTGTTTCTGTTTCGGTCTGGGTTTGATGCATCCAAAACAGCATTTGAAACTCCTCCGTCCTCATCATTCCTTTGTCTCTCCCTTGTTGCTCCTTCCTCCTGAATGCTCAGTTCATTTCCAGCTCCTCTTGCTGGGCTTTCACCTCCGTCGCACTCATCCCAGCTACTCTTTGGAGTGCAGGTTTTAGGGGAAACACTGTTGCATCCTCCTCCTCTGCTGTTATCCAGCTGCAGGCAGGGAAACTGTTTACCATCCAGGCGTCCTTTGTCTTGCTCTTCCTGCTTTACTTCTCTGGGTTCAATCCTCTTGCAGCTCCTCTGCTGCCGCTCTCTGCTCACTGCCTTCCTCTCCCGGCCAGCTGTGTTACCGGACTTCCTCCACCGCCTGCCTGATCGCACCCTGACCCTGTTTGCTCCAGCCTCTGCAGACGGAGGGTCTGCTCCTCCTCCTCCCTCTCCACCTCCTCTCTTTCCTCTCAGCCATTCACCAACCATGCTGGGAGATGCACCGGAACTGGGCTTGGCAGTAGAGTATAAACAGCTCCCTTTCTCCGTTCGGAGGAAGAGGCATTGAGTCTGTGTTTTCCCGCTGCCCTCTGAGGTCTTCAGAGTAGCCACCGTGACCAAAGCTCCAATTCCGGCCTGTCTGGCGTCAAGTCCCAGGGGCAGTCCATAGCCGCTCAGGTACACGTCTGCAGGCCTGGGGCAGGACATCGAGGTCCCTCTAGCCAGAGGGGGAGCTGTGGGGGGTTTACCTCCCCCCAGCAGACCGCCGGCCTTGCGGCGGTTCTTGGAGCACAGAGCCCACGCTCGAAGGCCACGAATAAGAGGGAGGTCTCCCAGGCCCAGCTCCACTCTGCTGGGGAAGGGCAGCGAGGCTCTGGAGACCTTCTGGAGCATCTCCTGGGGGCAGTCTGACATGTTCAGGCAGGGGTAGTTGTTGTTGTTGTTCTGCTGGAGCATGGTGCCCGTCGTCGGCCTCATCTAAGTTTTATGGTGATTTCTGTGCCAGTGCTTTATTAAAATGCAGCCTGTCAGGTTGAGCTGAATTCTCATTTGTGAGAAGGAACGCTGCCGCTCTCAGGGATCTATTCTTAATTCAGAGCTTGGCAGCTCTAATGCAGCAGGACAATAACTGACAAAGTACTCTGTGCATGGTGAAATAGCTGAAGTTATTGTGAAAAATATCCCTTTCAGAAATTCTCACAATAAAACCAAACGAATGAGCTGATCTTTTTAATCTCACATTTTAGCAGGTAGCAATTTCTTGATAAAAAAAAAAAAAGAGAAAATCTCCGGGCCGGAAAGTCTTTGAGCAAAAATAGAGGAAAAAGCGGGTCACATGTCCTGCTGACAGAGCTGATAAGAGTGAAGGTAATGAGGATTTTGTTTTCTTCCACTCTGATGCTCTGTGACGCTGTCTTCTCTGCCTTGCTGGATTCACTGTCAGCTGGACTCGCGTCTCTCAGGCTGACTGGGATGTCAAAGTGACAATGCTGCAGCGGAGCAGGACAAAACAGACATTTAAGATTAATATAAGAAGAAAGAAAAGCCCTTTTAACAATAACATTATTATTTTTTCTTTACAAAATGATCTGCTAAAAAAACAAAGAAGTCAAAGGATTAATTAACAGGAGAACTGAACAAAATGTAATTTTGTATCACTTTTTTTGAGTGCTCATAAAGCATTAACTTTTTTTCTATATTTCGACACACTGAGACCATAAAAAAAATTGATGCCTCTACTTTTTTTATATTTACAACCTGTTTTTTTTCCTCACAAGCTAAAAGGTTCCAGATCAGTAAGATTAGGTGGGGGTCATCCGGGAACAGGAATGTCAAGCTTTGCCACAAAAGCTGAACTGGATTTCATCTTGGACTTCAGTAGGATGAGCTTTGATTTAAATGATCCGGCTGCAGCTGGATCATTTAAATCCCTATAAAACTATATATAACTATATATAGTGTGGTTGATTTAAGGTTCCATTGTCCTGCTGGAAGCTGAACCTCAACACATTTCCTTTAAGTTTATCCTGTAATTAACTCCACTCCTCCATCTTTTTAAACACATCCCCGCAGCATAATACTGCCACCCCCATGTTTCACCGTGGGAATTCTCTTTTTAGAATGATTGGCAATGTTTGTTTTTTCACTCACCTTTTACTACTCTGATTTTTTACTACTTTATTTCTTATTCTACCTGCAAAATATGTGTTACATATAAATAAAGTTGACTGATTAATTTACACGTCAGTTTTGGTCTCATCTGAACAGAGCTCAGCTGTGTATTTCAGTAGCTCCTCTGTGGATTCCAAGGTGCTTCTGGAATAAAATTCTACTGCAAATGTGAGTTCATTTGTGGTCGTACCCTACCTTTCCCATTTGTTTACAGCTTAGGATATTGTTTTCTAGCCCAGCCCTGCTTTGCACATCTTCACAACTTTCTGTCTGCTGTGTCCCTTGGTATTCATGGTGGATCTTCTCCAAGGTTCTCTTAGGAACCTTAAACCTGGATTATTGTTTAATTGCACCTTGAGCAGCTCTCCTAATTAGCTTATTGGACTTCTGAATGCAATCGGCATATAACCTTTTAGTTGCACTTTGCCTTTTGTGTTGGACTGTTAAATTAGAACGCATTTGGGATTTTGTTAGGGGAAAATGTGCAAAAAAAAGGTCAAATTGGTGTTTTTACAAGCCAATCTATTATTATTTTTTTTAATTTTCTGAGTTCATGAAAGATAGGCCATTTTAAAGGGGGGAAATATGCTTTTACACTTTGCGCAACCTGGTGCCATCATGACCAGCTGTGACATCAGCTACCAAAGATCAGCAGACGTGTATAATCTAGATTTTATCGCCTTTATTTTTCAATTCCCAGCCAGCCTAACATGCAGCAGCAGGGACAAAGGTAGGTGTTGGCTACAGTGTGTCTGATCATATCAGAAGGATGTGCTGCTGTAATAAAGATGAACCACGTTTAAAGACACCAGCAGAGCCCCCCCAACCACAATCACCTCATGGATACGAGAGCTGATTGATTGTAGATCCTTACCTGATGTGATGGCTTATAGTGTTTTCAGTCCAGAATTGAAATGATGTGTCCTTTCTTCAATGTCCTTCCACATCTTCATTGTTTGCAGAGGAAGCTTTGGGAGCATCCTGAACTGGGATCAGCCGCATCATGTCAGTCGGCCTGCGCCAATGACGCTCCAGAATCATCCAAAGCAGCCTTCAGTCCGCTTCTGTCTGCATCCAAAGCAGCCTTCAGTCCGCTTCTGTCTGCTCGCAGAGCAGAAACACCCGGAGGACCGGTCTTCCTGCGGCCGTTACGCATCTCTTCATACGTCGCGACTCTGCGAGGCGCATCGACGCTTCTTTGCGCAGTCGGTGGGTCTGCTCCAGTGTGCTCAGCCAGCAGGATGACGGAGGGCAGCCCACTCACTGATGGGAGGCGCGATTCGTGCCTCACTGAAGCAGAGAGTAGTGAGACCAGCGGAAGTGTATGGCGGGTTATTAATGCCGCAGAGAACTGGATGCATTTATTTAAACAGACTGCTGCTGAAATCAGATATATTTAGATTTTGGCAGAATTTTTGTTCTTAAACAACTGATTATGAAAACTAATCATTCCTAATCAGAAAGGGGTCAAAATGTTTGTAAAATTTTAAATCTTAGTTGAAACAGAATGTTATGGTCTTGGTTCTGTTAAGTTTTCAGTTTCATATTTATTCATGTTTTTCTTTGTTTTCTAGTTTTATTGGGTTAATTCCTATTTTGATGTGTTTTTGGCAGGGGCAGAGCTAGATGGGGGGCCAGGGATGGCCATGGCCACCCTTACCCAATCTTTGGCCACCCTTGTGGCCACCCCTACCATTTCCCCCCCATAATACTGACAGTGGCAGCAGTAATACTCTCAAGTGATACTACAGTAATACTATCAATATTCAGCATTTTTGTTGTCACTTGACAACAAAAACACAGTGGTTAATTATGCACATCAATATACTAACATTAAAGATACGTACAGAATTCATGGTCTTTTAAAGAGAAGATGCAAGTCTTATAAAGGAGTCCATAAATACCCTCCCTGTGCAGTTCCTCGGTGCTGGTTCCTCGTCTTTCCCTGGCTCCTTGTGCTTGTTTTCTCCTGATGTCTCCTTGGTTCTGGTTTGTGTAACATTTTGAGTTGGGTTTGTGGACTCCTGCCTCTGTGAGCTGTGATCATTCATTAAAACTGCAAGAACTCACCTCTGACCTCCCTGCCTCTGCATTTGGGTCCTCAAACCTCAACCAGACATTGACACAGAAAAAACAGAAGTTGATATTTAATGTAAAATTTTTACCTTATAATGTATGGTAAACTAAAAAAGCGAGCATAAAATAATAGGAATTTAATCTAAATTCAGTTCAGTATTTTAATTACACTTTTTTTTTTACTATTTTCTTTATTGCAGTTTTTATATTTTTAGATTCAAATGCATTACTTTCAGTTTCTTTTTTTTAATATACTTTCAAATCAGATTTTATTTACATTGAGATTTTTAACCTATTCTGATGGAGTGGGCGGGGAAACGTGATTGACAGTGCAGGAGAGATGCCCCTTTCCATGTTGCTTTTAAGTATTCATCCAGTGTAAATGTCTTTTACATATTATTTTTCCCAGAATTTTTGCGATAAAGGCAAATAAATGATGCAGAGAATGTTTTGCTAGAGTGCCCACAGTCCATGAATGCAACATGGAACAACAAAACAACAAAAATGACGGTCATCCACTTAAGAATTACTACATTGACATTTTACAGTGAATTACTTTCTATTTACTCTACTTTCAATTTTCTAACTTTAGACACAATGTCGACGGCTGACTCAAATCAATGTCTTTGAGTCAGTCTGAGATAGCCAGACTATTGTTAGGCTGCATACTATAGTATAGGAAACATTGGCATATTTATGGATTTTCTTGGTTAGTACATCCACTGACTGTAAAATTACCTGTAAACGTCTTCCCGGAGCCGGCAAACTGTTTGTTTTTGCAGCCAAATGCTACACACCTAGGCATTTTTATGGTACGTCTCCATCAGAGTGGGGACTACCAATATGGCGGTCAGTGGCTTCACTTTTTTTGAGCAGTCAGCAATCCAGTGAATAAATAGAGATCAGTGGGTCAGACCCATTCAACGTATACACGCTTGACATCATATCCACCGAGCAGCACGTAAAAAACCGACCCAAAGTAAATGAAGGAAAATAGGCTACAGGCTTATGGATGTATCGGCTCTGAGCTACTGAGGTGTCAGTCTGCTCATCAAACAATGTTTTAGTCATAAAGGTTAAATAAAAAAGCTAATTGAAAGGCATTTTTCAGTAAAATGCACACAGATACACCTGCATTCATATGAGGTTGCTTCTTTATATATTTTTCTACAGTCACTCTAAAGTCTTATTTCTCAATCCTGCTGTGTGAACTGCACCATATTTGAAGGGCATCATAACTTCCCCATAATTTAAATCATATTAACTGCTCACCAAAAGATAATTTTAAAACAGGGAGAAAGATGAGACCTCCTGCATTCCTGACCGATGCTCTGCTGGTGATACTGCAGAGGCAAAGCTCTGTACGTGTCGCCTGACTGTGGCACTGTTTGCTCTTCATAGTTCAGTATGTATCCATCCTCAGACACACATATCTGAGTGTTGGGTTAATTAATTGTACATAAGTTATTCTACTTTAATCATATTACTTTAATCATATTATACTTACACATTTTGTTATCTCTATCTTACTCATATTACAAAGAGTGTTAAAACATTTAGTTTTGTTTGCTGTGTCATTAATGTTTTTTAAGTCTGTACAGGAGGGATGCTGACTGCTGTTATCAGATGTCGTTAAGGGTGCGGAGGAGCATGGAGAACTGTGCAACTAGATAAGGAGAGGGGTTCTCCTTATCCTATGATGTTGTATGATGTTGTACGAAAATTCTGGTTTCAACTGGGTTCTGTTCCCTCCCCCTTTAGCGGTTGAAACCACATTGTAATCATGGCGTTTTTTCAATAAAGGGCTTGGAGAGCAGATACTGCTTCAGAGTGGGTTTGAAGTTGTAACTGAATACAGTTTCTGATCCCCTCTCCTTGCAAGTAAGATATACTCAATTCTCTGTGTCATTCTTTGTGCAGGTTGCTGAATAAGGTGTTTGGTGTTTAAACCTAACATTAATTGGTCCTTCGAGCCGGATTGCAAGACACCTGACGATTCCCAGCAGGTAAGCGAGACCCAGATAAGCCTGCGGCCGCAGCAAATAGACCCTTTACGGGACTGGTCTCTCCCTTACAAGCTGGAGTCCGACGGTTGAAGCATTTCAAAGGCGCAGAGAATTGTGAGTAGTTTTTCTTTTAATAAGGAGTGAGTGAGAATTATAAAAAAAACAAAAAGAAAAATATAAAATATAAAAAAAAGTGAAGTGAAGGACGGCGAAGTCCTCTCAGCGTGGGGCCACGAGATTCCCCTTTTGTACTAAAACCCTGACAATTCTAGACTCTATCAGGTAAAACAGAAATTTTAAAACAGTTAAAGTCCGCGGGAGGGCAGGCTCCCCTAGTTTGTAAGGGCAGGCTCCCCGAGTTGTAAACTAGTTAAATTCTGCATAGGATAGCGGCGTCCTCTGTGTTTAAAATAAAGTAAAAGTTAACTGCGCAGTGTGAGTGTGTGTGTGTGTGTGAAAGGAAATATAGATATCACTAGATATCTGTATTTCATACCAAAAAGACAAGGGTTAAATGGTGAGCTTTTGTGGATGTTTGTAGACAAGAAAACTCCACCTGTAAGGGTTGAAGTGAGTTTTACCACAAAAAGTCGTTGATCACCATCTTGTCTGAAGCCCCAGTGTTTAGAACACGACAGGTGTTGAAAAGCCACTGGGCCCAAATTTAGTTCAAAATGGGAAAGGGGCAAAGTAAAGAAAAACAGAAGTTATTGGAGGAACTCCAGTGTAAAGACTAGAAAGCAGTTGAAAATGATGACCCATTGGCGGTAGAGCCGTTGTGTTACTGGATAAAAAACTACGGTTTTAATGGTAAATTGAGCACCACAAACATAAAGGAATTGCAGCAAAAAATAAAAACAAAAAGCAAAAATAAAGACACTTTGATGGCAAAAGAAGGTTACATGCAAACCATGGTCTGGATGAAATTAGCAGGACAGAGAGAAGAGGGAGAGCGTGGAGTTAAGAGAGGGAGAGAGGAGAGACAAAGAAAAACAGTAGAAGGAATTCCCTCTCCAAAGCAAGATGTGGAAGAATGTATAATTCAAAAATGGGTAAATCGTCACCACATAGAGATGAGTGGTGGAACACTTCAAAATTATATAAATCACGCCCTGCATGCAGAGAAAGTCATAAAAAGTAAAAAGAATAAAAGTAAAGAATCCACTGTGTTTTATCAGGAGGAGGAGGACACTGTGTTTTATCAGCAGTCCAGAGGTAGAGGGCGAGGCAGAGGCCGTGGAAGGGGAAGAGGCTTTGGATCACGCTCAACTGATGATTCCAGAGCGTGTTGGTCATGTGGAAAAGAAGACCACATAGCTAGACACTGTCGACGTAAACCACAAAAAATAGGAAGCTCAGCATGACTAGATGAGCAGCCATGTCTTAAACCTAGAAGATTTGTTTTTTTTTTTAAAGAAAAATATAGACCAGAAATAGTTCTGATGGTCCAGGGCACACCTGTTAAATTTGTGTGTGATACAGGAGCCTGCAGAACCACAATAAAAGAACCCATACGCCACGCACCTCTAAGTTCAACTTATGTTTTCTACACAGATGTATGGAATGTACTGCTTATCATGGGTAAATCATTTGTCATTGGTTAAGACCAGTGAAGCACAGTGGAGAGACACAGGCCTGCGTTTAGAAGCTGCAGAAAACGCATCTGATTTCTATGTATGTCCGCACCACACTGCAAAAAATCTGAATCTAGATGAGTCATTTTTTCTTGAAGTGGGTGCATTTGTTCTTGAATTGAGGAGATGTGGGAGACATTTTGCCGATGGAACAGATCAATTTACACTTAAAATAAGAAAACACAATTGCATTGTCTTATTTCAAGTGCATATTGTCTAATTGTCTTGTTTTGAGAGTGGGGTTGCTCATTCCATTGGCGATCTGTCTCATTTACCTGCTCAGGTTAGGGGTGAATGCGCTTAATTTAAGAAATTTTAACTTATTTCTTGATCGT